TGCCAGCAGAGAAATAATCAGCACCACTCAATAGAAACTAAGACTAAAAATTATCGGTCGGTACGCTAGAATGTGACTTTTTTTTTACAATCTCTCTCAATTTCGTCTGGGTGTACATGAGAAGTTTTTTAAACAGTTCGATGTTTGAGGCCTGATAACTCCGAAATGGTTCTCCGTACGCATATTTTCATTGAGACAATTTTTGTAGATCGTTAAATTTCCTACAAAAATACGTATCGATCACAGCTATAAAATGTTTCGTTGTTGACGAGCAAAATTCAAAAATAAAAAAAAATTTTTTTCTGTTATTTAAATTGAAATAAAAAATTAATTACAGCCACCTCTATACATTAATATTGAGGGCTGAGATTTTTACAATTTCTCTGATTAGGGATACTCTGAAGAATTTTCAATGTTCTTCGAAAAAAAAAAAATAGTGTTTTTTTGAAACACTCTAATAATCATGTATGAATTTAAAATAATTATATATACTTATATATAATAATTGTATATGGAACTATATAGAAACATTTTTTCTCGGGAAAGACGTTAAGAACTCTTGTACTTTAATAAACATTATAGCATTCAGTAAATTTTGGAAAAAAAATTTAAATTCTGAATAAAACAGCTGTTTTTAAAAGAACAAAAATTTCGTCCAATTTGAAAAATTTAATGAATTAAAAAAAATGAGCTCATGTGATGCGCGGTAATCATCGAGAAGTAAATTGAAATTTTTCTAATAGAAAAAGCAACATCAAAATGGTAACTTTTGACAAATTCATGGCTAATTAAAAAACCTAAACATTTTTATCGAATTCGATATGGAAGTCTTTTTTCTTAAAATGGCACTGAAACACTAGGATTCTGAAAAAAAACTTTATGTTCCCAAAATTTTTGTATCCTTTATTATTTAGAGAAGCGAAAAAAACCATCACTGTCAAAACAACGAAGATTTTGTTCGAAGAAGAATTAAGAATAAACGTCAAAAAATTCTAAAAGTGCATATACTCTTCACTGAAAAAAATAATCGGTAGAGGCTACCGATTGGTAATCGGTAGAGGTTACCGATTTTTTTTCGGTAGAGGCTACCGATTTTTCGGTAGAGGCAACCGATTAAAATCGGTAGAGGTTACCGATTTTTTTTCGGTAGTAGCTACCGATTTCCGATCGGTAGCCTCTACCAATTTTAATCGGTTGCCTCTACTGAAAAATCAGTAGCCTTTACCGAAAAATCGGTAACTTCTACCGAAAAATCGGTAGCCTCTACAGAAAAATCGGTAACCTCTACCGATTTACATTTACCGAAGAAATAGTTTTTGGGGCCTATAACTAAAGTATAAATGACATGTCAACATGATTTTCATGTGACAGCAACATGATTTTCATATGGTAATAACATAATTTTCATGTGGTAGGCAATCCTTTATTTATAAATTGATGTAACGTTTTTATTGTTGTCGCTTTTTGTTGCTATTGCAACCATTTTGGCAACGATTACCATCATGGGAACTGTTAGATATTATTAATTAAAATTTGTAAAAATATTGATTGATGAAATTTTGAATGATAAACATTTTGTCAGAAGCGTACTCAAATGAAAGCTCTCGATGAGCTTAACATCAGGATATTATATCTTAAGAAATGTCAATAATTAGGAAATGACGTTATATTTTGTCCACTGATAATATTTTCAACGATATAAGCTTTTTAACTTTTTAATAAAAGTTTTTTTTGTAAACGATATTACTCATATTTATGAAATATATAAAATATATAAAAAATTCATGGGAGTATTCAAATGAAAGGTCTCGATAAGTGTAATACCAGAATGAGCTTTTATCGTTAAAAATATCATTAGTGGACAAAACACAACGTCATTTTTTTATTGTTGGCATTTTTCGAAGTATAAACTCATCCTGATGTTACTCTTATTAAGACCTTTCATTTGAGTACGCACACGATTTTTTTCATACATTTCATATGTATGATATTGTTCATATTTGTAAAATATATGAAATATAAAAAAAATTCATGTGGGTATTCAAATGAAAGGTCTCGATGAGTGTAACATCGGGATGAGCGTATATCTTAAAATATGTCAATACCCTGCTCCGTCTAAGATTGATAATGATTTTACAATAATTGATGAAAAATTAACACAATTTTTCGTCGGATGTAATATACCATTCAGTATTGTTGAATCAGTTCAGTTCAAAGAGTTTGTTAACTCTTTAAATCCAAAGTATAAACCACCGTGCAGAAAAACTCTTTCAAGTATATTACTGAATAAGTTACACAAAAAAATTTCTAATGAACATAAAGATAATGATCAATCAGACGGCGTCATAGTAATTGACGGTTGGAAAAATTCTGTATCAAATACAAAAAATGTTGTATGTATTATTCATACAGCAAATGAAGAAAGTTTTTTCTTGAACTCGTGGGATTTTACTTCAATATCTGAAAATACAATACAATTGACGAAAGTCATTGAAGAAGCTGTCAATTTGGCAAAAACAAATTATAATAAAAACATTTATGCTGTGGTTTCAGACAATGCCCCAGTTATGGTAGCGATGGGCAAAGCTGTAAATTTATGGCATGCTGGATGTAGCAGTCATAATGGTAATTTGCTTGCCAAAGATCTTATTGATCAAAAGTTTGCAGAATCTGTAAACACAATTTTACGAACGTTTAAAGCTCCAAATTTAGAGAGACAAGTGTTAGAACGTGGAGGAACAAAAATGAAGTTGGCTTGCGAAACTCGTTGGTGTAGCTACCGCGATGCTTTCCAATGCTGTTTAAGAAATTTAGATATAATGAAAGAAATTTTAAATGATAAATTAAACAATGAGTTTCCTAAATCAAAAAAGCAAGATTCAGAAAAAGAAAAAATATCTACTTCATATAATTTACTTATCGACGATTCTTTCATGATAAAATTACAAGATTTTATAGTTTTGTCTGATCCTATTTGTTCGTTAATAAATAAATGTCAACAGTCTAATTTTACTCTTCCTAATGCTGCTGAGGAGTGGCTGAAGTTGAATATACCAACTGAAAATGAAGAAACTCAAGAAATTGTTAAAAAACGAGTTCATAAAGTATTAACGCCTATTTTATTAGCAGCAAATTTACTACATCCAGTTTATCAGGGTAAACGATTTCTCCATATTGAAAAATATCGTTCACAAGCTCTTCAATTTATAAAAAATAAGTTAAAAGAAACTTCTTACCATGAATTAGAAGCTTATCAAAATAAATCCGGGAGTTTTGGGACATTGTTTAGAAAAGAGAATGTTCCTCCACAATTGTTTTGGCAAATGACTGAAAATTCATTTCCTAATATATCGAAATTAGCTCAGAAATTGATTAACATTCCTGGATCATCAGCCCAAATTGAACGATTGTTTTCCAATTGGTCATATGTTCACTTCTCTCTACGAAATCGATTGACAGTTGACCGCTCAAAAAAGTTGATCGATATTTATTATTCACTGAAAATGAACTCTGAAAAATCTAAATAATTGCAGATTATTTATATAATATATAAATTAATTTTGTTACATGTTAATAATAATAAACGTTTGATTAAAGCTCTTGTACATATTTTACAAAAATATATTTTTATTAGGTAATAATTAATTAATCATAAAAATAAATGAACAAATTAAATGCTAACTTTAATAAAAATAAGTTTATTCTCGTTAAATTCAAATATAATATTTATCACTTTTTTTTTTAAGAAAATATAAAAACAATAAAAAACAAATGATTAATATATTTGATTGAATATTAATTATTCCTTCCACTTGATGCCAGAAGCATGTAATTAGCATTAATTATTTTAATTTTTAAAAACAAATATCTATTTTAATTAATATCAATATATTTATAGTAACAAATTGTTAAATTATCAATTAGTTTGATAAATCATTTAATCTAATTAAATCACAGCATAAGATTATAAAAGTTGATCACACAGTATTTTACCTTTTAAATTGCATTTAACATTTTTACTTAGGTTCACCAAGTAATTTTTAGTCTTGTATAATTATTATTATTATACTAATAAATGATTTTTTAATAAAATAGTAATATACCAAAATTAATTAATTAAAATTACAAAAATTTGTATAAAATTGATGTTTTGTTATTTTTAATAATTTATAAAAAATAATATTACTCTCATGTTATCTAATATATATTCAATTCATATTCAAAAACCTTAAACTGTAAAAAACATTAGTGAGTTTCATGGCTAAGTCATTCGGTAAATCTTTATCTAAATTACACTGATTCAACCTAAATGTACATGCTGGTATCTTTAGTAAAGATTGAGCCAAGGTACTAATTTTACTATATTTCTCTAACGCTATGCTCCAAAAAGTTTTTGGACATTTCGTTTTAACAAATAGCTTAGCAAATAAACCTCGTGAATTTTTATAAGAGTCTAATTCTTCCAGTCCTTCACAGTCCAATTCATCAATTAAAAATTCGTAAACCATGTCACTGTACTTATTAATTTTCATAAAAGCATTACCTTTGTACAATGGATGCAAAAAATTAGCTGTCAATGCTTGTGGTGTAATTATTTTTTCTACCTGATAGTCAATTATGTCTTTATACTTTTAATTTTTGATAGAAGTCTTGAACTTAAACCATTCTTCAATAGAATCAGTAACTGATAAACGTTTCTTTTCACTGTTCTCTCTAAATGTTGAGAGAAATTCAAATATAACAACTAGGGCTGTACAATTTAGCCGGTTAAACCGGTTAAAAAAGTTAACCTGGCTAATTAGCTGGCTGACTGCTCGGTTTAGCCGGTTAACCGAAATTAGCTAGGCTAATTAGCTAAAGGTTAAACCGGCTAATCGGCTAATTTTAAATTTGATGAAATATCTATGTTTTTAAGTATTGGTAGGCAAAATTCGACTGAAAATGAATTTATTACGTAGTATTTAATATTATTAACAATAATTTACATTTATAAAAGTCTTTTAATCTAGTTTTTCTATCATATCTCTATTTTGGTATAAAAAAATTAGTAAGTTAGCAGTTTCTGGTGACAGACAGCTTCTTTTGGCAGAAATTATATTGCCTGCAGTTGAAAAAACCCGCTCGGAAAGTGTACTGGAAGGAGGAATGCATAAAAATTTTCTGGCGAAATTTGCCAGGATCGGAAATTTGTTCCGCTTGGAATTCCACCAAAGTAGTGGGTTGTCTGACTTTGGAATTGTCGGCTCTCGTTCATATTTTATCATTTCTTTTTCAATAGCACTTTGGCCTTCAAGACTTGCCATTCTCTGCAGATTTCCAGACAACCCACGTACTGGATCAAAAAGATAATCTAAATCTCTCTCCCTTTGATTTTTACTCAAATCAGGTTCATTGACTGTAATTCTCTCTCTCATCTCTTTTAATTTTTCCTTGATCTTATCCCGATATGATTCTTCTTCATCTGCTAAATCTTTGTAACTATAACATTCATAAAAATGATTATTAAAAAAACTGTAAAATACGATTGATCTGGCCAGTCATGTTTAAAAATTTAAAAAATCATTACCGTGGATTTAAATAAGATGCAATTGCACAACAAGTTACATTTGTGTTGGTTAAAAAACGAGTTGTTAATTCTTTTTCAAGAATTTCTTTTAGTAATGAAATATTTTCACTGTCATCATCTTGCTGCAGTAAAAATTTTTTCAATAATGAATAAACAGTTGGCCGTACCATAGAAAGAGTAGACTGGCTCTCAGAAGACATTAATCTTGTCGCAACCTCAAATGGCTTAAAAATTTTGATGACATCTCGCAAATAGGTCCAATCAGATTCATTTAGAAGTAATTTTTTCATCATTTTTTTAGTCGTTATCTCCTTATCTAATAGAACACACTCAACAGCTTTACGCTGCTCAACTAGACGTTCGACCATATCATATGCCGAATTCCAACGTGTTGGAGAGTGGCTTATTAACCGGTGAGTTGGCAGATGATGTTTTTTTTGAGCGTTTTCCAAAGCTGTACTAGCTTTATTCGAGTGTTTATTAAAGTGACCAACTATGGCTGACACTCTTTGTAAACAATCTTTCAAATTACATTCTTTTAAAGCTGTTTCTACAGCACACTGTAGAGTGTGGCAGAAACAGCGGACACTTATCTCGATATCATCATCAGCTTCCCAATTGTCTCGTACAGTAGCAACCATGTACCGCGCATTATCGTGTACGACTGCAATCACTTTGTCATAAAGATTCCAATCATTCAATGTTTTAGCCAGGTGGTTGTATGTATTTGTGGCATTATGACTTTCTAACATTTCTAATGTGTCTAAGGTAAAAGAGGACAAATTCCACTGATCATCAATACCATGGACAGTAATAGTTACAAATGAATTATTAGCGCGTGATGACCACCCATCAGTTGTTATGGACACATATGGGAATTGGTTTAAAGATGATAATAATTTATTTCTCACAGCATCATATAATCCATACAGGCGATCTCTGATTACTGTTCTAGACGGTACCGTATAATCGGGACAAACAGTTTGGAGAAATTGTAGAAGTCCGGGACCTTCTACAAATGATAATGGTAGCATATCCTCTGCAATCATTTTCACCAGGGATATTGTTATTGTTTCTGATTTAGGATTCTAGAAAATAAAATTTATTAGCATATGTTACTATTCTAAATCCTGATTAAGAAAAGCAATTTAAAATGATTGAATCGATGTAAAGTGTGTATCTCTATCTACGTAGAAGCCAAATCAGGCCATTTAAAATTGTTTTTCTTAATTAAAGAATATATGAATCTAAATACAAATTTATTGTATGCAATATTTGATCAATTTTTCAATAAATTTACTTACATTACGACTATAATATTCTTTTCTAGGTATAGATAGTCTAGGTCGTTTATTTGAATTTTCTTGCGTACTTGGGTCGTTTTCCGCTTCGGATCTATTATATGCGAAAATTATGTAGTAATTAATTTGTTAGAAATACTGATAAAAATGCTTTTTTATTTTCAATAAGTCATAACTAAATAATTAATGACACTGAAGTTGACAGACATTAGAAATTTTTTTAGAATTTTATAGCAATTAAATTATTATAAAAAAAATTTAATTGAAAAGTTCCACGTGTGAACATTAATAAAAATTAAAAGTGAAAAATTTTAGAAGCATTTTTTCATTGTAATTGATTCGTTAAAAAAATTTTTTAAGTTGACAGCTGACGGCTAACTTCAGTATTATAACTATTATATTAAATATAGAAACGAAATCGAAATTTACTTACTGAGAATCAGAATCAATCTCGCCGATCAGAGTAGTGGGTTGACATTTTTCCGGGTGTTTATTTTTAATATGGTATCTTAATGATGACGTGGTTTTCTTCGTATTATACTGAATTTTGCAATATTTACATTGAGCTACTCCACTTGAAATACGTATATAATGATTCCACAGTGACGACATTTTTAAACAATTAACTTAATAATATTGTTGGTGAGGAATGTACCCGAGTCAAAATATAAATTCCAATTTGAGCCTCAAAATTCTCAGTGAGGTATTTGAAGGCAAATTTGAAATTTCAAGATAGATTTCAATATGGAAAGTAGTCACGATTTGAACCTCAAAATCCTACTTACGGACGGTTTTACAACTTTGAGGGTAAAAATAGAACTTCAGAATTCACGTTTGAACCTCAAAACCCTCACAATATTCTTCAATAATTTTACTATTAAAAATTTTAAATGAATATGGCACTATTGTTTTTTAAATCCTCCCTGCATTTTTTAAATAAACAAATGGTTTTATTTGATAAAATAAATTCAAAGTGATCGAGGTGTAAAATTTTTTGGCAGTGGTACAAGTTGTCATATAACATTTTAGTAATTAATTCCACCAAAACAAATTAGCCAAATTGAAACCAAAAAAATTTTTTTTTTTTTTGGGATTGTTGTTTCAATTTGGGTGTTCAGATTATCGTTTTATATACTTAACACGTTTACCTTTCTTGTTTCCCTATGTATCGAAATTATATTAATCTAAAATCGTACGACGCTCGGACTCGAACACGGAACCCTACGCTCTCTAAGCTTAAACCTAACCGACTACTCTATACTACGCATGTAGTTGTTCTGTTGATAACTGTACATACTTTAAACATATTGGAATTCTCATTTGATCCTCATATTCCTCAATGAGGATTTTGAGGCTTTCGTTCGGATTTGAAACCTACTATATGCTGGAAAGAAATAATGCTGTTTTCCAACCATGCATTTTTTATCTCGAGGAGTCTTTTCAAACTATTTGTTTTATTATCGTTAATAATAAATTTTCTTGTGGTGACCCCTAGTTTAAATAATAATTCGCGTGTTTTAAATTTCGACTTACAGTAAATTTATATGGCGCAGTTTATTTTTTCTTCTGGTGAAGTGTGGTTATTAGTGTGAGTAGTTCGCGTCGTATTTTCAAAGAATTTTAAAATCATGGTGAACCCTCCGGTCGGCAACGGTGGTGTAATTCCCGAGGCTGAGGCGCGCATTGGTCGGACCGTAGCTCTGACACAGTTACCAGAATTTATCTCCGAGGACCCAGAAATGTGGTTCGTGATAGTAGAATCGCTCTTCCAGCGATATAACGTAACCGACTAACAAGATCGCTGGACTCACATTGTGCCAGCGCTACCTCCGCGAGTTGCGAAACAAGTGCGCGACGTCGTAATGAAAGAACAAACCCCCGCAGCTAATCAAGAGGCTCGGCATCAGTCAGGCGGAGAAAACGAATCGGCTTCTGGAAGGCGAGAAGATGGGCGACGAGAAACCATCAGAATACCTACGCCGGCTACAAGAAATCGGAGGTGAGATCCCGGAACATCTTTTGCAGTCGATCTGGTTACGAGGTCTTCCAGATGGTTACCGGATGACGATGGCAGCGCAGCGCGGTCAGTCACTTGATAATATGGCTGAAGTTGCGGACAACATACATGAGACGGTACCGACACGTCGAGCCGTATTCGAAACTGCAGCATCTCAGGACACGTCGATCGCCACTGCGCTCCAAAACCTCCAGCTGGAGATGGCAGAGATCAAACGGAAAATGCACTCACCGTCAGAAGGCAGACGCGGCAGATCACCGACACCGCACCGTAGCAAGCCGCAGTCCCAATCCAGATCAGGAGCACGATCACGCGGCCCTCGTCCCCAAGGAATCTGTTGGTACCATTGGATTTTCAACGAGAAGGCAGATAAGTGTACACAACCGTGCAACTGGACCCCGGGAAATGCCCAGGGCAGTCGTTAATGACGGCCGACGACACTCGCCCGCAGACATCTAGCCGTCTGTTCATCCGCGACCGTGAGTCAAATATGCATTTTCTAATTGACACGGGTGCAGATCTGTGTGTAATTCCGCGAAAATATTACCGTGGACCGTGCAAAAAGTCAAACTACGAACTTTCCGCGGCTAACGGTACGCTCATATCTACATATGGAGTCGCGACGCTTACACTGAACCTGGGCCTGAGGCGGGATTTCACGTGGAGGTTCCTGATCGCGGATGTGTCGAAACCCATCATTGGCGCCGATTTCCTATCGCACTACGGGTTGCTTATCGACCTCAAGCGCGGGAAGTTGTTAGACACGACCACCAAGTTATACCTAGAAGGAGAGATTGTTCAATGCGGAGATCCAGGAATCAGGATCATTTCCGGCTCGTCTGAGTATCACAAACTGCTTGAAAAGGTCCCGTCGATCACACATCCCAGCGGAACTCCAGGAGAAATGCGACATCAGACACAACATCATATTGAAACGACTCCAGGACCACCTGTGGCATTGAAGCCAAGAAGATTAGCCCCCGACAAGCTCAAAGCAGCCAAGAAGGAGTTTGAAGCCATGCTACACCTGGGACTCGCACGACCATCGAAGAGTCCTTGGGCGGCACCGCTGCACATGGTTCCAAACAGGGCGACGAATGGCGTCCTTGCGGGGATTACAGAAGTCTCAACACCCGGACCAAGGCGGACAAGTATGCGGTTCGACATATCCACGATTTTTCGTACATGCTGCATGGTAAGAAAGTTTTCTCCAGAGTTGATCTTGTGCGGGCGTTTAATCAAATTCCAGTTGCACCGGAGGATATTCAGAAGACAGCCATCACAACACCGTTCGGCCTGTACGAGTTTCCATTCATGACTTTTGGACTACGGAACGCAGCACAAACGTTCCAGCGCTTCATGGATGAAGTACTTCGCGGGTTGGATTTTTGCTACGCCTCCATCGACGACATCCTGATCGCCTCGACATCACCTGAAGAACACAAGAGACACCTCAGAATACTCTTCAAGAAGCTCGAGGAATATGGCGTCGTTATTAACCCTAGCAAATGCGTCTTTGGAGTTTCAGAAGTCGAGTTCCTCGGATACCTCGTCTCAGAAGCTGGAGTACAACCACTGCCCGAGAAAGTCGAAGTCATCCGGTCGTTTCCAAAACCGACCACTGGCAAACAACTTCGTCAATTTCTAGGTATGGCTAATTTTTATCGCAGATTTATTCCTAAAGCTGCAGGTATCCAAGCTCCGCTGAACGAGCTGCTCAAGGGTGACATCAAGGGACGTGCGCCGGTCAAATGGACTCCAGAAGCTGTCAAAGCATTTGAAGCCTGCAAGGAGAGCTTGACCCAAGCGACGCTATTATCTCACCTGAAATCCGACACACTGCTGGCAATATTCACCGACGCATCTGACATCGCCGTTGGAGCCGTCCTACAACAGTGGGTCGACAACATGTGGCAGCCACTTAACTTCTTCTCGAAGAAGCTCAGTCCTGCCGAAGTCAACTACAGTGCGTACGACCGCGAATTACTGGCGATTTACCTGTCAGTCAAACATTTCCGTCACATGGTAGAAGGTCAAGAGTTCGCAATTTATACCGATCATAAACCGATTACGTTCGCGTTCAGATTGCGGTCAACTCAATGTTCACCCAGGCAGCAACGTCACCTGGAGTTCATTGGACAATTTTCTACTGATATTAGACATGTTTCAGATACAGATAACGTCGTCGCTGATGCCCTATCAAGGATTGAAGAATTGGAGTCAACCATCGACTACGCAGCGTTGGCAGAAGCCCAGAAGACAGATGAAGAGCTTGTGGATCTCCAACACGAAACTTCGTCACTTCAACTACAACCAATCCCAATTTCAGGATCAGCTGTCATTGTAATGTGTGACGTGTCAACAACGATACCACGTCCATTCATTACCAAAGGGTTCAGAGAAGCAGCATTCAACTCCGTCCATCAGTTGTCGCACCCAGGAGCTAACGCAACATATAAGCTCGTAGCACAACGATACGTGTGGCCATCCATGAGAGCTGATTGTCGTCGATGGGCCAGAGCATGCATCGAATGTCAGCGATCAAAGGTAACACGCCACGTATCAGCTCCAGTGGGATCGTTCGCCCCACCATCATCCAGGTTTGAGCATGTACATTTAGATTTAATAATCATGCCATACTGCGATGGCAACCGCTATTGTTTAACTATGATAGATAGGTTTTCTCGTTGGCCTGAGGCGATTCCACTTGCAGACCAAGAGGCCGCAACGGTTGCCCGAGCGTTTTTCGACAACTGGATAGCACGGTTTGGAGTTCCACTACGTGTTACTACTGACCAAGGGAGACAATTTGAGTCTAACCTGTTCAAACATCTTAATAGGTTGACTGGTACGACTCAGATACGAACAACAGCATATCACCCAGCAGCAAATGGGATGATCGAGCGGTTCCATAGACAACTCAAAGCAGCTATCCGCTGTCATCAGAACCGATGGACCGAGTCACTACCAGTGGTCATGCTGGGTATTCGATCAGCGATAAAAGAAGATTTGAACGCGACAGCTGCGGAGATGTTGTATGGTCAACCTCTCCGTATTCCAGGCGAATTCCTGACGTCAAGAGCACCTCAAGGTGAAGACATGAGTTCAGCAATCTTCATTAAAGAACTTCAGAAACAATTCCAGAGGTTACGTCCAACTACTGTTACCAGGCACGGTGAGAAGAAGATCTTTGTGTTCAAGGACCTTGCCACAGCGAGTCACGTGTTCGTGCGCTATGATGGTCCAAAACAGCCGCTTCAACTACCGTATACGGGGCCATATCCAGTTATCAGCAGGTCTGATAAGTCATTTGTGGTCAACATCGCAGGAAAAAACAGCACGATCACGATTGATCGCCTTAAACCCGCTTACATGATGTCAAGCGACATCGAAGAGCCAGAACTGGAAGAACCAGATGACGAGATTGTCATCGCTCTTCCACGACGCGGTTGTCCAAGAGCGCCTACAACTCAACCAGAGCTCCCGACACAACCAGAGCTCCAGCAGCAACCAGAACTAGTGGGACCGGACGACGGGGTAATCATCGCACGCCCACGGCGTGGACGCCCCAGGAAGTCCGCGGCCCCACCAGAGC